TTGAAACAAAACCCCAAAGCCTTGAACAAAGGTGATCTTTGGGGGGGATGATTCTTTTATCTATCTCTGCCTTTCCTCTTCAAGCCCACTTTTCTTTTTCCTTTCTGGAGCCTTAAGAGCATTAGTGAAGTTGAGCAGAGAATCCAGAGTCAGATTCACTGCTTCATTTGGAGGGTCAGGACTACCAAGCAGAAGTTTGCCCTCCATTATGTTTTGAAGAAATTGGAGGAAGAGAGAGATTTCTGGCTCCTCATTTGAGCTGCCTCTCTCAGACAATCAATTCTGAGTCATTAGAACTGGTAGCAGAACAAAACAGAAAGTTTACAAGTGGGTGTAAAACAAATCAAAGAAAGAGCCAGAGCACATACCTTCCAGAAGCCAAAGAAAAAGGTGAGGCTGTTGAGTCAACAGAGCAGGGCTACTAACTAAAGGCTACATGGCCAAGCGTAACTTCATCTTCTCCTTCTCCTTCTCCTTCTCCTTCTGAGCACTTTTGTGAAATGATCGCTAGCAGAGGAGACTTATTACCCTCTAAGAAACTCATTCACAAAAACAGAGGCTTTCACAAATAATTTTATCCCATAATTCTTTCTCAAGACAACCTTATCAAAACATCAAATTATTCGCAGCTTTTAGTGATTTTAACATGGTTGCCTCATGTAATGCTATTAAACTACATGCTGTAATGAGGAAAGTTATTAGAGTAAATATTGAAAGAATTTCCTCCTGAAATGATTCCATTATATGAAACTTTGATATAATTTGTTTTGATATTGGATGAAGAACCCTAAAAACGTTTCTTGCGTACGGTTTTGTCAAAAGCATAGCTTTTAAAAAAAAATAAAATCAGATACACAGGAAGAAATCTTTCTGTTTCTATTGTGAGGAAAAACAGGGATGAAAGACTAGTGGCTCCTATAGATTAGGGACTTTTTGCAGATCATCTGAAAATTCATGTCCACCTACATGATGATTCAGCCATAACAGAAAATGCTAGTGAAGTAATTATAAATATCTTCCAACAAGCCTTGGGGCAGTGCACGTTCCATCTCCTTTATTCATCCATGCAAAAGAAGCTGGAAGTATTTGTTTGTTTTCCCACAACAAACCATGTTTTGGGCAAACTGGGATTAAACCATGGTTTGTGTAAACCTGAGTTAAACAAACTACACATGCCCAAATTTTAGCATCTTGGAGAACTGTGCTTAATTTAAATCCAGTAGTGGATGCTTTTAGAGCTCTTTTTATGGGTTTGAAACAGGAGGGCCCAATGGGTGGAGCAGAAATGTCTAAGCAAGAGGTTTGCCTCAGCTACTTCCTATAGTAGGAAGCTGTGGCTCCTATTGCACTTGAATAATGGTCTTCGTGGGATACTTCTGCAATGTCTGTTTTTCATTAGCACTGCACCGTATCCCATTTGACTTTTATCCTTAATGGCTCTGCACTGTGTTACTTCCTTGTTTAATGGATGGCTGAACTTCTCACTTTTTCTGGGTTGGATATACAGTATTTACTGTTTGCTTTGGTCCTTGCATCTCATTAATCTGAATGAATTAATTCCAGATATCTTTTCCATTTCATAATAGGATCTTGCATCACTTTAAGATTTGCATACTGTGTATCCAGTAACTGCCTGATCTTATGTAGCAAGCAGTTGCTGATGTACTTAAAGGTTTGCAGGCATGCCCAGTGACTAAAGTATGCTGGGTTCTCTGCATCTGTTAGTTTTGTGCTAGGAGTAACAAACATTAACCCAGGAATAAGTTAGGAGACTAACATCAGTGTGTGGTTTTAGCTGCCTAAGAAAATGCACGATGGAGAAAATGTCCCTGGGACACACTTAGCAGCATTTTTGGAACTGTCAACTGGATAACAAGGGAAAATATTTGCAAAACAAATAATTTGACACATTCCTGCAGGGAAGTTTAAGTTGTTAAACACAAACACCAGTTTGTATATTTCAAGGTGATCTGTAGCATCATCGCTTGTGTCAGAAATAATAATGAGCAGTCCTCTGCCTGAACACATGAGGATTGCATCTGTAAATACTGTATTAGGAAAGGACGTTTTTCAGAGTTTTCCCATTAATCTGCTGAACAATCAGGAGAATCAGTACACCTAGCAATCAAGTCCATTCCACAAGCAAGGCAAAAAGTTAAAACCTTTTCCTACTGAGTACTTTTCCTGAAGAGTGAAATGAAGAGAAAGCAAGAGTTGTCAGAGGAAATACTGTATGAACTAACACGGTATATTGGTTGCTGAGGTTATTTGATTAGCTCATCTTACAAAGCAGCTTCCGTGAGGCATAATAGGCTTTACTTTTTGGTAGCCACTTGAAGGCGGGGGGGGGGGGGTACGAGTTTCTACAGAGGAATTCTTCCGGTTGGTGTAAGTTCCACAGAGGGGAACTCACAGTAGCTATCAGTACTGTAGATGATCTCATCAGCCGCTCCCAGGTTGATACTCCTTCAGTGCTGTTCAGTATAAGTCTGAGTCATAGAATATTCAGTCTGGGACATTTCTTCAGGTAGATTGTAATCTGGCTATGCCTGGCATATTCTATGTTCAGAGAGAGTGCTACTAGCAAGAACTCAGGGGATGGGAAGGCTGGGTTTCTCAAAATACCTCATAACACTAGAGAAGTGCCATAATAAGACTTCCTTTCATTAGAAGTATTTGTATGTGGTTGATTTCAGTAACATCAGGCTTCGATTGGGTTCTCACATTGTGCTAAGCCACACTGTGTTTCTTGGTGGTTTGAGTTTGGTTTAGCATACTGTGTGAGTCCAGCCAATGTGGTTTGTAGATCATGATTTATGCCTCAGTAGGTTGTGTGAAGCTAGTTGATTGAGCAGCAGTTATTAAACCAAATTGTTTAGCACAATGCATGAAGGACACCAGCAGCCATTGTACCAGGCTGTAGTAGACAGAGCAACTTTCCACACCCTTGTGTGTATGTGTGTGTGATATCTTTTTAGATTGTAAATCTAAGGGCAGGGACTGTTTTTTTAATTGGTCTGTAAGGTTAAACATAAATAAAGCCGGCAAACAAAAGTGGGAACCAGTAGTAGTCCGGATGCTGGTGAACTGCAACTTCCAGTTGTTTCATCCAGCATTGCCATTAATGAAGGATGCTGTCAGGCACATCTGGAGAGTGACAGGTTCTTCATTCTTGAACTTTTTTTACCTAGGAAATTTTAAAAAATGCATAGGGGTTTTTGAAACTTTTTCAGGCCATGGCTATTAATTAAAAAAAAATCCTGTAGCCCATGATCCAAAAGAAGAACACTAGTGTTAGAAAATTGGCAATAGAATGAGAAGTAGATTTTTATTGCAAATGCAAAATTGACATTTCCAATGCACAAAAATAAAAGGTGAATTTCACAATTATTTGGAAGGTTGAAGTTGTAACCAAACAAATGCTTTGGGCATTTTTCTTGTTGTTACAAAAAATATACAAAATGCCATTTGTTTGTTTTTTATGGAGTTCTGCACATGTCCTTTTTAAATACTCTGTACTTTTATTTTGGGAATGTTTGGGAATGCTTGGTTTCCAGTTGTCTTTGAATTCTGTAGGATTTGGATTACTGTTAGCCAATACTTGCTCACATTCAACACATTATACATTTGATTCATCTTTCTTGGCGGTCCATGTAAAATCCAAATTGATAGAGCTCTGGTCATGTTTCTGTTTCTTGTTTGTGCTTGAGCTTCTTTTCTTAAAACTTCTGCTGTGAGAAGCAGCAGCAATGCCAACAGCACTAGAACTTGTTTACCTTTCTCTATTTTTCCCTTCTCTCTCTCCCTCTCTCTCTCTCTCTTTTGGTCTATGCAGTTGTACCAGTTTTAGTGATTCATATCTGGAAAAATATTTTTAGGCCTAATTGAAAACCAAAATATGTATATGCTGAGGGGTATAAAACTAGGATAGGTGTTGAAGGCATGGATTTTTTCCATTATGAATGCCTGGCTGAAGCTTCTTCAGCACCCAACTTCCTCGTATTTGCCTGCCTGCATACTGTAAACACAATTCTCATGTACATATACTTCAGAGGAACTCCCACTCCAGAGGCACATATGCACTGCAGCCAAGCAAGGCAATCCTACATGTCTTTATTAATGCCTACCCAGCTCAGTAGGACTAACTCCTAAGTAGATGTGCACAGGATGCCATCCTGATAATTGAGCTGACCTCTTAGGGACATGGACATGTGTACATGCATATATGGACCACAGTGTGAAATGTGGAGGGAGGGACTCGCCATGATTGTTTTGGTGCTGCTAAGCAAGTTAGAAACCCCTACCAGATTTTTAGCTCTCTCTGCTTTCAGCTCCCTCAGCTGCCCTTCAGCTTTAGGGGCTGCCTGGGGAAATGTTTGTTGGAGTTGGGAGGTAGGCAGGAACTTGGGTTTTGGGTGTGTGCACTCAGGAAGGTAAAAGATTAGACTGGTGGTGAGGGAAAGGTAGCCAGTGCCTCTTGCATGGACTGCTTGCAAAGGCTGATGACGTACAACCAGTGGAAGGGGAAGAGCAGCATTGAGGTGGGAGCAGATGACTGAGTATGCATCCAAGACTGGTATATTTGAAGTTGTTTTTAGTCTCTTGTGGAATCTGTTCAAGTCCTCATGGAACAGTGTGGTTCCATGGAACCCAATTTGAAAAACTCCAAACCTGACCTTTATTACTTCCCCACTGGTATACCTGTCTGAATGATTGGCCTGATCAAGTCTTTGTACCATCTCTGACCTTTACAGGAATGGCACTGGAGTACAACAGATAAAAAGTTGGGAATCACAACAGATAAAAAGTTGGGAATCCCATATCTAGGAGGTGTCCTTCTTTCACAGAGCAAGCTACAGAAGACTCTGAATCTCACACCCTCTTCTACACACAATCAACACTGCATGGGCCCTGTTTCTTTTTATATGTTAACGGTCTGTTTGAACTCTTGATATCCTTTCTTTGGTATTTGAAACCATTTCTAATCTTTGTCATGCCAGATTAATTTCTCAGCCCCAGTGGAGGACTTCAGCTGCATGAATAAACCCACTTTTATTGCTATGGATGGCTTCAAGTTGGACCTCCTGCAAGGACGTATGTCTGATGTATTGCTGACCTCTATCTTTGTAACTCCAATAGGGGAACTTACTGTGGCTCATTTAGGCACATCCGAAGGTCGTGTTTTACAGGTTAGTTAAAGCTGTAGCTCTTTGCCATATACAAGGGGTCTACCACAAATGTGTATATTAGAAGTGCACAGTCTGAAATTCCCAGGTTGCACATGTCATCTCTATAATCCTAGCTTGTGGTCCCTGTAGCCTGTTCAGAAGCCTCCAACATGTATCCCTCAGCCTGGAAAATTATGCAAATTTAATTCTTGTTAAAATTCATTTTTCTTTTTAAAGGTCTGTTTTGTAGAAGTTTTAATAGTATGCAGATAAAAATCAATCTATTTTAATGAGCAAATGTTTATGCTGCAAATGTAAAACTGGTTTGTCACTGCTGTTGTTTTTCTCCATTCCTAGAAGAAGGTTTGATAAGTCTGAATGTAAGTGCCTACCCAACTAAGTGGCAGCAACTCTAGCTGACCTTGGTTGGTCTCAAAAACTAAGCAGAATTGATCCTGGTTAATCCTTAAGTGGGAATCCACTAGGAAATCCTACTTCTGCACTGTTGCCAAGAAAACTGCATACAATAGATGTGTATGCTGAAGGTGAGCATGAATTTTAGCTTACCTCTGTAAGGATCTAGGGATCTTAAACAGGGAATTCTCAGCATTTTCACAAAAATTCATTCAGGCAGTTGAATGATTATAATGTTAATTGCAGCCAGTGTTAGTGCTGGTTTTTTAATGGAAATGTGGGATTTGTGCTTAATAAACATTTAGAAGGATTCATCTGTTAAAGATTCATCCTTTTGAAATGGTTGCTAGCAATTACACTGGGGTTGTTGGAAATGGAATTTGCAGGTGACAGGAGCAATTATATTTTCACTTTCTCATGCTTCTGAACAGAGACCACAGATAAATTGGGAAATGTAGTCACAACATTCTTTTATAATCACGATCTCTAATGGACAACTCTTGAAGGGAATTTCTCTGTGTGTGTACATGTTTATGTCTGGGTATTCCTAGATGGTGCTTGATGGATCCACTTTCTACAAGGCCGAAATGGCCAACTTCTCCTTGGGAGAGCGACTGCCAGTGCTGAGAGAAGTTGGCAAGCTACGCCACTCTTTGTTCTTTGCCACAGGAAATGAGGTGAGGCAGATTGAGTTCTCAAGGCAGACTGAGTCCGCTTGGGACTGAGACATACCGTGTAGGATTATCGATCCCTTTATTTCTGGGAGGAGGAGGGTTATTCAAAAGCTGCATTGATTTTACATCACAAGCAAATAGTGAAGCTGTTAGAGTCTAGATTCAGTGCCTAATGTGTAAGTTCAGCAAAACCTAGTAACAGAGGTTTTCTGTACAAGTTCAGAATGTACTTCAGGAAAATCTCATTGGAATGCTTCCTGAATCTACCCTAAGCTTTTGTTGTTGCTGTTGTTGTTGTCCTGCTTGATGTGACCTTTTCAAAAAGAAAAGGACCTTCTTTGTTACATTAGGATAGTTGGTGTCTTCCACCTCAGGATCACAACAACTGAATTTGCACATGCTAAATTGTGATATGGTTGGTCTGGTTCAAGGATGGAGCATCCCAGAGAATTCCAGAACATTCCATTTCCCTCCAGGCCATGCAGAACCTCCTTCTAAACCAGGCCATTCTAGAGGTAGTTTGGAAGTTTGTGGAAATAAATCTTCTGAACTGAAAGGGGCATGAAGTGTTCTAGTGATGACGTGGCCCCAAACAGATCAGTTTCATCCAGAGCACCATGTCCATTGTAGATCTACTGCCAACTAATTTTCTGGCCATGTTCTGGGTAGATTTGTAGAGAGCCCGTGACCAATTTTTACTGAAGTCTCGACTATCTTGAGTCCCATGCAGTGTCTACACTGTCTAGATTCAAGCTACAGGCAGGGAGCGTGGCAGATGTATAATTAAGGCATGTTTCCGTGGAGGTAAATTGTATTTACATTTTAATTATTTTATTCCTGCTGTAAATCTTTCTATGAATATGGCTGATGGAAGGTATAAAAATATTTTCATAGATTAGGGCATGAGCCCCAGTTAGTGCTGATTGTCCCTTTGTCACTCAACTTGATATCCTTTGTCCATTTTGCAGGTGTTCCAGGTGAACCAAACTGGTCCAGGCTGCCTCCATTTCCTAACGTGCCTCAGCTGCCTGAAGGCGGAGCATTTCATGCAATGCGGCTGGTGTGGAAATTCGTGTACCCGTCAGGAGGAATGCAAGAAAGAGTGGAACCAGGAGAGCTGCCCTCCAGTCCTCACAGACGTATGCAACTTTCTCACTATATGAGATTGGCCGATAGTAAGCCAAGACAGTGACCAGTGCCCATTTCAGCCATGCTTAATGAAGCCATTTGGTACTGGGGGTTTATCTTAATTAACTTTTCTTGGTAAATGTCTGTTTCAATATTTCTGTTAAATGTTCTTTTTAAAGGCCTAAAGCACATCTTGACAGCTATACTGCCTGTATTTTTTGATAATTGCTTTTCTTTTTAACTGCACAGCTTGAATGTTGCATTATTACTTATTGCTTTCCTGTTTCTTTCTCCCTCTTGGGATCAGGGTAAGGAACCTTTCTCTTCTCTCTGTATTCCCCCCACTTCCGTTTCTGCTACAGTCGGCTCTAGTACACTATAGTTCTTCTCTGTCAAGGGACAGATTTTATTTTTCTAAATGTAAGGTATAAAATAACATAAATAAATAATGTAAGGTATGAAATGCAATGTAATGTACCTTGCATTAATGTAAGGTATAAAAATTCACAAGCTTAGTACAAATTAAGCTTGTCTTAATATCATAATAGAATATACAACAAAATCAATCCAAGGTCTGCCCAACTTTGTCCATCCCGTGAGATGTTCACAGACAGGAGATGGAGACATATTCCTCTCCCACTGTTATTTGGCATTTGGAAGTATGCTGCCTCCAACCCGGAAGTAACACTGATGTCTTAGTCTTGAACTCTTGATAGACTAGTCCTCTGTGAATTTATCCAATTCAAGTTAGTGGCCATCACCATGTCTTGTGGTGGGAAAAATGCAGTCTGAAAAAATGTTTTTTTGTGATGTTCTAAATCTTTCAGTCAATTTCATTGGGAGACCTTGGTCTAATGTTTTAAGAGAGAGTGTATTTTCTATATTTCAATCATGTCCTCACTCAGTTCACTATTTTCTAAAGCCACAGAGTCCCAACCTCTTATCTCTTCTCTAAGGAAGACAATCATTCTGATTGCCCTCTTCTGCACTTTTTTCCAGCTCTTTTACAATGTTTTTCAAAACCTACCACTAGAACTATACACAGTATCTCCGATATGGGCATACTATAGATTTCTATAAGGGCTTTACACTGTTGACATTTCTATTTTCAAACTTTTTTCTTATAATCAGGGGCATGAAATTTGCTTTTTTCACAGCTGCTGCACATGGAATTGGCATCTTCATTACAAAATCCACCTTGACTTCCAAGATCCTTTTCCTGGATATTTACAGACAACTCAGATCCCATCAGTGCATTTGTTTTTTTTTAAAGAGATCCTTCTTGGATCTTTTCATAAGCAGATGTGTTTTTTGACATTGGAATAGTATAGTTTCATCCACAAACTTGGCCAGCTGTCTGCTTATCCCGAAGTTACATTCACAATCTTTACATCTTTTGAGAAGCTTTTATGATCTGTCTGTTAACAGGAAATGTTCATTCCTGCCAATGGGCTGCAGTCATAAAAATGGAGGACTCTCAGTGTTGACTTTCTCTTGGCAGGCAATAGTGAATAGGAAATTATAACTGTTCTCTTAAGTTGCTGTTTTTCCAAGTGCAAAAAAATCAGGGCTCAGTGGCTAGTTGAAACTAGGTGCACTACTAGGAGCCTCAAAAATGTTTCCTCGCACCAACAGAGAGGTACTGGGTAATAACAGATTGCTACATGGACACAGCCATTGCTGGAGCAGTTTCAAGCAATTTCTCTGCAGCTTTGTTTGTCCGCGCCATGAGTCCTAATCTGTAGTGAGTTAATATTTAGCAAAACAAACTTCAGTCAAGTAAACTTTAACCTTCATGTACCATATACAGTAATCATGAAGGAGCCATTAGCTAAATTATTTAAACTGTACAATAGAGGGAAACCATTTAAATGTCTAGATGACTTCTTAAACTATAATGATAAAAAGAAGAAAATACTATAGCACGTGATTTATACTTTCTGTTCCTTTGTACAGCTAAACTTTTTATATACAACTAAAGACAAATAGTGCTTTTATGTAGAACTAGAACTATTTTATTTTGAATATAGCAACAGATTCAAATTCAGCTGGGGCTATGTTGGTATTCATGCATGTGCAGAGAGAAACGCCCTTGTTTAGAGTCTGTCCTGGGACTAATCAGCGGTTCCTTTGCCTAGTCATTTCTTGCTGATTTGATCCACAGCAGCAGTGATTCTAGCCAGTTGTTAAAAATACATGTTTGTCATTGTAGCTAACTGGGATATGGCCAGAAATAAATTAGGTCATAACTTTTATCTGCATCAACTTGAATCTTTCTGTTTTTTTTCTTTTCTTCCTAATAAAAACTTACCCATTGCAAGTGATATGACAGTTTCCTCCAGTGAACTGCATAATCAGCCCAGGTTTCGCAACAGCTGGATAGGCAGGGTGCATGGAGAAAGTTTGTCATTTCCCCTGGACATTCTCTCTGTGCAGAAATATGCCTGCCCTTTTGGCTGGTGCTAATTACTGAATTAGATCCCTATTCCACGTTTCAGCCGGAGATAGTGAGATCTTAGGGCTATTCAGTTTCTGCTGGTCGCTGATAATCTTGATGGTAATTATGATCTGCTTTCCCAGTTTCATCCCAGAAATGCACCACTACATGGTAGCACCAAGCTGACTCTCTGTGGCAGGGGATTTCAGTCTCGTCCATATTTTTCTGGCACTGCTGGCTCACACTCAAGCCCTGGTGACTACTCCATTACAGTAGGACAGAGGACATGCTCGGTGCTATTTGAAGAGAGCCTGGCAAACCGGTAAGAAGAAAATGTGCCTCCCTTCTTTCTCCCCAGCTCGCTTTTTTCCTAACTCTGCCCCATGTATATGTTCATACAGCAACATTCACAAAAGAGTTTCCTATAAATTAACTTCATGTATGCATACGTAGGAGAAGAGGGAAAACATAACATGGGGATGGGCATTGTTTTTCAATTATACAACTTCTTCACCTGGCAGGAGGAGAAATGAACCCAGGGTATCCATCAATCCCCTTTCTTAACTTTTTCACATTAAATCTCCAAGGACAGCATCTGTCACAGGCCTTGTCACTGGCTCAGAATAGAGTTTGATACAGTGGCATCCATAACAAGCCACAATGCTGTCATAATAACAAGGGGTGTATAGTGACATCATTGGACAAACCACGCAATTGTGTGTTTTCATCTTGATATCTGATGCAAGTACAAAAGTAGCACCATTTGCGTGATGGTGTCACGATATGTATGTTATCACTGGCCTTCACTTGCCTCCCTTGTGGATGCTCAGACTCAGAAGTCATGGCAGAGTGACTTGTGCCACAATACTTTTCTGCTAACTCATGGTCTAGAGGAATGCGTGTTACCACGGCTGTGAGGAGTCTGCCTATTTCGCTTGAGAAAATAAAGCCAGAAGTGACCTGATGCTGTCTTCAGCCCCTGGATTCTCTGCAAAGGGACAGGTTCTGGAAAAGGCAGAGCTGCGCAGATGTGCCAGGGGGTACGAGTCTGTCCTTCCACTCAGCATGAACATTTTGGAGCTACTCATCTTTAATGGGCTTTTATTGGGCCTGTGGTGTTTTCTTCACAACTCCCTGAGCATCATTAGACAAGAAGTGCAGTATAAATAAAACATAGCTGTTTTTTAAAATGTATTAATCTAAAATGTGCAGGATCTCATCGACTAAACTGCAGAGTGTGGAATATAAAAGCCAGCGAGAGAGCCAGTGTGGTATAGTGTTGGACTAGGACCAGGGAGACCCAGGTTTTAGTCCTGCCTCAGCCATGGAAGCTCATTCGGTGAATTAGGGCCAGTCACTCATCCCAACCTACCTCCTAGGATTGTTGCTGAGGGAGAAAATGAGAGGAGGGAGTATTACATACAGCTCCCTTCAGTTAGCACAGTCTTGCATCTTCTCTCTTTTGTCTGATACACTGTTTTTTGTTTCTTGTCTCTTCCAGTATATCTGTATCCTTTCACTTATAAATCAAAACATTTCAAAAGAATGAGTATGTGCCCATTTAAGAATATGCTTTTTAAAACAAGTGTGCAGTTTTGCTCATTTCGATGTATTTATGTGCACAAATACAAAAGACAAAATTGGGATTAGGAAAAGGAATTTTCTGGAATTTGTTCTCTTAAATATTTCTGCCTGCGGAAGGTTCTGAGTTGATTTCGCAAGCTTTATGCTGCAGTGCAAGGGCAGCCATACGTTCCTTATGTGGAAATCCGGCCAGGAGACGTTTCTGTGTGTCAGAGTTTACACACTGGCAGCTTTCCCAGAGCGGAAATGAGTAGCAGCTTTTACTGTTCCCTAAAATTGCAAAGCGTTGTTAGAGGTGAACCTCTGTGACCTTCACCCAGTACATATTCATTGTACGAAATGTTGACCTGCAATGAAAAACCACAAAACAAAAACAAAAAAACAGCGATGAAGCAGACCTGCATGCCTTCTTTCAAAAGAGACAATGTACATCTAAATATGACATTTAGAGTTTTAATGGGTGGATCCATGGCTCTATAGCCAAGGCGTGTTTTATATGGAAAACCATTGTCACTCAGGATTGATGATAATGGGTTAGATGGGCCAACAGACTCTTCGAAGAAAGAACAGCTTACACTTGTCATGCTCTGCTATAGGCTGTTCAGTTTTCCATATCCAGCATTGATCACAAATGCTTTAAAAAAACTTGGAATTGGTCAACTGCTTTATAATCAACAAATAATCCCATAGATTATTTCCAAATTTGGGAATTCCTGTTAAGCCTGGGCTGGAATAGAAGTCCATCACTGCTATTCCCACTGTGGTCCTTTGTTTTTCAATGTAAAAGATGGAAATGGCATCAGTTGTAGAACATTGGAGACCTAGACCTGGAGATGGGACTATTTCAGAAATCTCGCCATCTGCTAGTGTGAATCTAAGTCAGTTACTGTGAAAATTTATTTCCAACTCTTAGCAGTTTCCTACTGAAAGGTGCCTAATGTCATTTAATCTTTAAAGCTAAATGGGCCTACATCATGTAAGTTTTTGAAGAGAAAAGGTTTGGTGATTCCAGACATACTTTTCTGATTCCTTTGGAGATGGAAGCAGAATGAAGCCATAACAAATAAATACCATTCCATATCAACTTCTTCACCATCAAAAGATTTAATTCTATTATCTAGGGCACTGGTTACATGTGGCTTCATCCATGTTCCTTCCGTATGCACCCATCATTTCAAACATTGTTTTTCCTGCTTTAAATGTATTACTTACTTCTCTTTGAGGATCTCATCAGCTCCATTTAAAAAAATGACTTAATCTTCTGCTTCCTCTTCATTCTTCATATATTTGTTTTGCGATTTGAACTTTATTCATTTTCTCTTTATGACCAAACCACTTCAGTGTCTCTCCATTCTGATTTCAATCTGTGGTATTCAGTCCAGATTCCTTCAGCATCTGTTCATTCTTGATCCTACCTCTTCCTGTTTTACCACATGTACTTCTTAAGTAACCCATTCCCACTGCACTCAAGTTACTTTTATGTTGGTCTTCACATAGGCATCTCTCACTTCTATAAAAACAAAGTGGGCAGAGACTCACTCATATACACAGCCATTTTTGCTTTTTAACATTTATACCTCACAACAGACCACACACTAACTATTACCTTTGTGCCAACATTTGCAAACCTTTACATTTTGCCATCAATTTTCCCATCTTTAATAAACTTTCTATCAAGGTCCATACATTCATCTACTTGCTCTACTTTTTCTCCAATTATGTATAACTTGTCATGATCTGTTCCATTTTTGCTGTTGAACACACCTATCTAGGTCTTTAATCCATTAATTTTCAGATTCATACTCCTTGTTGCATCATACAATCTAACATTTGAAGGGCATCATTCAGGTTCTCAACCAACATCATGGCATCATCTGCATACAAAAATACACATAGGTTCACATCACTGATGTTGCCACAATAATTCCTTATCCACATATGCATAAATACATTAAACAAACAAGACATCACACATCCTGTTTTACTTCCTTTGCTAAGCATTGCATTTAATGTCACACATCTTTTGCTTCCATCATATGCTGGTCTTATTGTTCTTATTGAAAGTTGCAACCCACTTTCAATTCCATATTTATGCAAAATATTTCATAGTTCAAGCCTATTCACTTCATCATAAGCTTTGTCTAAAGCAGCACATTTAAACTTTATTTTTCACATTAATAACTTCTCACTGACCTGCTGAAGAGTAAAAAATCTGGTTTGCTCACTCTCTGCCCAGCATACATCCCAAATTTTGCTCATTATCACCTTACACTCTTTCAGCCATAATTTGGACAAACACCTTCCCTTTGAAATACCCACAACGGAGGGATGGTTGGTGAACATGACAGAACTAGCAGAGATGGCAGAATTAACTTGTTTGCTTAGAGAAAGATCAGTTACTATATTTATTAGTGACTGGAAGTCCTTATGGACTTTTTGCTGAAAAAAGAAAAAATACGATCTGGTGATTTTTCAATTTGATGATTAGGAAGGGTAGCTTAAGGAAAGAAGGAAATTATGATGTAACCATAGATGGAGAGGGTAAAATATAAATGTAGTTATAGCTGCTGTTAAGATCAGAAGCCACTTCTTCATTACCTTTTTTCTTTTTCTTTTCTATTTCTTTTGCTTTATTCCTTTTTCACTTTCTTATTCCTTTTTCCTATTCTTTTTCCCTTCAATTCAAAATTTGTATTGTGTTTATTCTGCTGAAAACTTTTTTAATAAAAATTATTTTAAAAAGCCACCTTCCCTTGCACCCTTAACAGCCTTATTGCTTTTCGACATACTTACAGCACTCATGACTTCCTTTTCAGCATGTTTTCCTTGAACAGTAACATTGATAACATTTGTTTCAGTTCTACTCTTCAGCATATCTCTGTCATTCCCATAGAAATCTCTAAAATATAGCCTTCTTTCATTTCTGTTTCATCCCAAATCAGTTAGTCACAATTATTTTTAATTCCATTCAGTGGCTATGACAACTTATATAGCTCCAATTCATATTGTCTGCAATACATTTTAGCCATCATCATCATCATCATCCCTCACTTCCCTGCATTTATTTATCAGCATCACTCCAGAAGATCAGACTACCTTTATTCAGATCTATTATAGCCTTCAACTTTTTCTTATTGTCACAGAACAAGACCAACCTTCCTGCCTTCTTGCCTTCTTGCCTTCTTGCCTTTAATTAATTCATGCTCTTTACCATAATCACCTCTTACAATCCAAATCACGATATCCATATGCTAGGGTTGTAACCAGATAGGCCCATAAATATTGACCTCCACTATCTATTGTGGCTTTGGTCAGTCAAGGCTTTCCCATAATGCTTTTTAGTAAGATAGGCTAAGTTACCAGCCCTGGTCATATCCATGTCATATGCAGAATTCCCTGCTAATGGTAAGGATAGTACTGATTGGTTTTGACATTTTGGACAGAACGCTGCAAGTGCAGCCACAACCCAATTTTACTCCAAATGTGCTCACGTTATTCTGTACAAGCTAGGATCTGCACCTTACAAGCTAGCATACTGTTGCCTAAAACCCATCAGCTAGGAGGTATGTGCTGTGTACTGACACACACATACCAAATGTAGGCTGAGCCAGAAGAAAACTCAGATATCTGAGTTTTCTTCTGGCTC